TAAACGGTACATCCTCTCAAACAGTCGTATCTGTAACTCCACATATTCGCCACTAGATGGTAGATGTCATGGTTTAGCACTAAGACCAGTTCGCAACTTTCTGAACCATAATTCTGGAACAGATGTTCCAGTTATGTAGCCTCCCAGGTCCCCTGACCTGACTAAAGTAAATTTTTTTTGTGGGATTTCGTAAAAAACGAGGTTTATAAAACTAGTCCATTAACTAGCGAGAAAATGAAGGAAAGAATAAGACAAGTGTTCGCGAGCATAGATGTACAATGTTTAAAAAACGTTCAAAGATCATTTGAAGCTAGATTACAACATTGTATTGCAGTTGGAGGAAGTCACTTAGAGCAGCTTCTATAATAGCTTTTTTTATTTTTTAATATACTTATGTTGCATTCTAAAAAAAATTAAAATAACTTATTTTTGGCTCATATTTTTTTCATTCAAATATAAAATATCTTCTAAACTGTTGTGTTTAGGGATCGGGACAAACGAACGTATAATTAAAGTACTTTTAGTAGATATATGAAATACAGGGCGAACCTAACCTTAAAAGTAAAGAAAGTAAATTCAGTTGATAATAAATTGTAGCTAGGCACCTTAAAAGTATAAACTGATTAAACAGTGTATTTTTCCATTGATAAATTCATATTCACTCTTTTCCGTTGGTCATACTAGCCTTATAGAACTTTTAAAGTAAATTAAATGTCCTTCACATGGTACCATAAAATACCAAAAATTAACGCAGTAATTAAATAATACATTTTACTGCAATAAAACATTTTTTTGAATATTTTAATGATTCTGATGGCAAGTTACAACATTTTATAAGGAACTGCTAATTATTTTATTATCAAGAGTAATTAATTTTGACAGCACATTTTTAAAAAAATGTCAAAAATTTCGAAAATAATCGAATATAGGTGCAATTTTGAACTAAGATTATTTTTATGAGTTAAACTTAAAATAAATTACAGGGTATCCCATAACCGATAATTGGAACAATCTCTTGGGGCTGAGACAGGCCAAGATACTTCTGGGTAAATATAACCAGAAAATATCGGAAGCTTGCATCTGCCTGAGCAAGAATAGGCTACGTATTGTAACAGGGATTCTTACCGGGCATTGCTGACTAAAAGGACACCTAAGTAAACTGAAAGTAGTAGAGGATAGTGAGTGCAGATTCTGTGAGGAAGAGGACGAAACCTCCATTCACATTATAACTGAATGTGTAGCACTCCAGAATTCAAGGACACTATATCTAGGAGGATATCAAATAGAAGAGGGAGATTTACCTAACTTGAAGCCACTTCAATTTCTATACTTCGTTGAGAAAATAGGATTGGAAGGGTCCTTGGTGCATTGGTGACAGAAGGGGGCACAATAGATCTTTTAGGTCGCAGTGTATTAACACCCCATTACCAACATAATATAGGGTGTCCCATTTAAAAGATTAAAATTTTATGTTGGTATTCTAGTATCAGACACCCTGTATATATAAAACTAATTTTAATTTGTAGCTGCCGTTGAGTTGTATATTTGTACCAAAGTAATTTTTAAAATCTTTTGTAATTTACTCACCAGGATTCGTCTTGTTTAGCATGGCGCACCTTGTATATCAATAATGATAGGTAGGGCCCGATTACAATAAGAACACAGAATTTACTAATTATTGTTTTAAACCAATATTTATTGATAGTTGCAGATAATATACAGTAATTTTGATACGTTTTAGAACGTCCTGACTCCAAAAAGATGACATTTCGAAAATTCTAAGAATGATGTGATATTTCCAAGGTTTTTTTTAGCTGTCACAAAGAGGCGACAGTTTTTTTGAAGTTGAGATCTATTTTTCAGGAATTTTTGTAAATAGGCAGAAGCAAACTAAACAAACAGATACGCAGTACGCAAATAAATAATTATATCTAATGTACATAATTTACAAAATTCGTTGTTTAAGAGGAAGAACTTTTAAACAGTATTTTTTTTTAAATGTCTTGCACTATATGGAAAACTCTTCATCATGGATTCATTCGATGGTATTCGTTTTTATAATAAAAAATCATTTCTGAATTGTATATAAATTATTTTTAATTAATTATTATTAATGTCATAAATAGACTACAATCTGATAGTTAGATACTACAATAATATTACTAAAGCAAAGTTATTTTAATAATATTTATTTTCTAAATAAATCTGTGATTTGTTGTATCTTGGTCTATATTAAATGTATTTTTATTTAGCAAAACAGAAATGGTAAGTAAACCTACCAAGGTACTTTGCTAAATTGTTATTTCCTAAACTTTGAAGCTATTTGTGTATCTATCTATAGCATTATAGCAAATTTATTTTAATTCATGTAAACTATTATGAAATTTTCTTAAAAAAAATATAAAAACACCTCCAAATGAAATAGAAATCAATAAAAAGAGTATTACACACGGCAAGGAATAATTTTTATTTATTTTGTATAAAAATAGTTTATCTGATAAACATATTTTTACATGTATTGTATATTTTTAAAGACATATTCTTCCTCTTTAAATATAATGCTGATCCGGATTCATTTCCACCGAATATCAATAAGCTTACTTGTTACTTTCGGTGGAAAAATCTTGGGGGATATATTTTAGTTAAATTTTCAAATATATATATTCGGCATAGTAATCAATAAGATTTTACAATATGAGACTTTGTATAAATACAAATACTTTACTTAAATATTAAGTATTTCTATCACAAAAAAATGTGTCACAAAAACCTGAGAAAAACACTTTAACAATTTTTCATGAGTGCGTTTAATAACAACAAACAAACGTTAGAATAAACATTAATATTATAATATATAGGAAGAGATAATTTCTCGAATACAGGGTGAACTACGCAGGTTTACTAAACGCCTTATGTAGTAAATGATAAATAGATACAAAATTAGTATTTTTTATGGAATACCTGATATTCAAAGTGGTTCATCATTACTCATCTTAGTTAAATATATTTAACATTGGGTTATATAAATTGAAATGGACAACGGGTTAAATTGGTGTGAAATATATAGAGTGTTTCAAAAAGTAGTGATGTATAAAAGTAATTTTTTTTTAGTAACTAGGTGCAAAAATATATTCAGTATCTCACCAGAAATTTAAAAATTAAAGAACCCCTCAGTTGTCTTGTGGCAAATGGTTTTCGGTTGAATCTGCTGAATTTTATTTACACTAGTGGAAAAACTTAAGGAATCAAGAAAAGAATATCGATTTATTGTGATTTTTCGAGTGACTGTATCTTTGGTGAAAATGGTCGTACGTGAAAAAAAAAGTGTCTAGTTTATGAATTTTGCTATAAAAAAATTTCAACCAACAATTAGCACAAAATCCTGATGAATATCATGGATAGAAAAATGCGATCCTTCAATTTCTTTAAAAATTTACTCGCATGAAACAATGAAACGGTTTGATGGTTTGAAATTTTGTAGGGCTTTCTCGTAAAAGAATATGCCAGAACCTTGTAGAGAATGAATCAAAGTTTCCAAAACTCCCCTTCCATTTTCTGAGCGGCTATTGGTTCCTGAGAGATTGACGAGAGAAGAGGAAATGACGCATTTTCGTTCATTTTCTGATAACTCAACAAGGAAGGGTCATCTTGAGGTTATCAAAAAAAGTAATTGAAGCTAACTGAACCACCTATCCAATGCATATAGTGGTTATGTCGAGACAATTTTTTTCAAGTATGTACACTAAAAATTAAAACAAAAAAATTACATTTTCTATCCATGGTATTCATCAGGATTTTGTGCTAATTGTTTGTCGGAAAATATTTTTATTGCAAGATCCATAAACTAGATACTTTAAGCTTTAAATTGCTTTTTGTACGACCATTTTTACTAAAGATACAGGTACTCGAAAAATCGCAAAATCGAGATTTTTTTGATCCCTTTATTTTTCCCACCAGTGTATATTTTTGCACTTTTTAACCTCTCAATTAAAATTATCTATAGGCACAAAGTTTTCCTGTAACTAGTTTTTGAACTTGTGAATTCTCATAATTTTCAGAAATACTTTAAGACGCAACCGATGTAATTTTCTGACTACCAAAATACGATAGTAACAACATTCTTTTTAGCTTTTGTCTTTTGTTAATATAAATATCTGAATAGATTAATCATTAGCTCAGTTCATAGAGCGTTCAACTTTATTAACTTTGCATGTGTCGACCACATCGCGACATTGGTTCAATCCCCCACGATGGAAGCTATCTATTTTTTATTTTGGAAAAATATGAAAATTGAAAAAATACGAGATTTGTTTTTTATTTATTTTAAATACGTACATTTTATTTTTACTTACAGTTAATCTTTTCGATAATCATATTTAATAATAAAAAAGTTCTTGTTCACGGTTCTTATTATTAGTTTTTTCACGGTTACAGTTTAACTAAAAAGTGTTGTCATGTCAAAGGAATCCCGGGATTCGTTTTTTCCTTAGGAAAACAAGTTCTCCGCTTAATAAAAATTAAATATATTTCAAAACAAATTAAATATTACAAAACTGAAGACTGCAGCTGTATACTATTTCTTATAGTTGAAGTCCATTCTTCTGGATTTTTGGCTAGCGAAGTGATCGATGACCACATTAATAAAATTTGGAATGGACCGAATAACTTTCTTTTCAATGGATAACATGGCTAACGCGCGCAATCTATCTTGGCACATAGTGTTCCTTAAACATGTTTTAATACGTTTTAGTGTCGAAAAACATCTTTCACTCTCCACTGTGGTCATGGGAATTGTACACAGGATAGTTAGCAGCTCCACAGATTCCAAAAATGTAACTCTCAAAAAACATTTGTAATAACGGTACGGCCCCATTGTGTTGCACAAAGTCATCTCGGGTGTAAAGTATGGGCAGTTAGTTTTTGAATTTTAAGCTGTTTACGTTTGGAAATAAACTACACACAGTTTTAACGTCCTCATTTGGAAAACAACCTCGGTAGTCTTAAAATTTTTCACTATCGAATAAACTTGCAACTGTTAGGTGGGTAGTAAAACTAAAACTTTCATTTACCTGCTCTAACATTGTATCAAAAATTTCCTTACAAATCCTTAAATTAGGAATGGGGTCCTCGTTTTCAACAAACCGTCTCTTCTTGCTTGTACTTGGACTTGATTGGGTGTTGTTGTTTAAGTTTAGTTCTTGTGGGTCTTGTGATTGCCATTCTTCATGAATTAGCGTGTCTATATTATTTCTAATATTTTGAATAGCTGCTGCAAAATTTGATGTTTATCTTAACCTTGAGAGCATTGAGCTGTCTACTCTGCAGTTGATCAAAAAGTATATAGCAATTTGGCATTATTTTGCTAAAGAAAAATAACCAGAAACTAAAATCTGTCTTTCAAAATTTATCAACCCTTTAGTCTGATTAATAGTTTTTTTTATCGAATTCTGTGTTCATAATTTCTTCAAGACATTTAATCAAATCCTCTTTACAAACATAAATAGTATTGACACACTTCGATGTAAATTTCCATCGTGTAGAAGCATTTTAAAGCATACAGCTCTGAAGAAAAGGTGTTTGGCAATTTAAAATCTCCTTGCGAAAAATTTCTCTCTTATATTTTCAAATTAGAAAAAATACTTATATCTTTATTTGATAGTTTGTCAACTAAGCCTGGAATATCCAACGCATACCTTTTTGAGATGAGCAAAATAGAATTTGGTCATCCTTGCCAACAATTTGCGAAAATGTACACCATTAAATTATTTATAAGACTCAGAATTTTTTATACTCCTAAATATGCAAACAGAGATTTGAAATCCTCGAAAAAGTCAGACAAAACCAAAAGAAAAATTAAAATTTTGTCCCATTTATAAATATTATGGATCTTTTTTTCATCATATTTTTGACTGCTTTATAAAAAAAAGTTATTTTTCTTTGTAGTTTTATTTCTTAACTATTCCAATGGTCCAACTACAATTTTTTCGTAATCACAATAAATAAATTATTATCATGGTCCAGCAAACGCGCACCTTAAGTCGAAATCGGCATCGCCTTTGTGAGAAAGCCAGTAAAGATACCGCTGCGTACATCCGTATCTGGTCTAGGTAATTTGTGCCATGGGTACAGCACGTCACGATGAGGACAGCGCCCTGCTTGTGACGTATAATCCATCGCATGTGTTCATTTCTTGCTAAGTGATATTGCCGTTGTTCTTGTTTTTTGCATCATAATGAGAGAGAAAACAACAGAGGCACACATTTACTGTGCCCATCTTCCACTTAATTTCGGAATTCTCGGAACGTCGCTCAACGCCCGGTCGTCCAGTGTCGAGCCAACGCGGTTTGCGCTGCATATTAGATAAAATAATAATAGGCATTGAGGAAAATATAAAATATGTTAGTTATTATTATTATTATTATTATTATTTTTTGTTTGTTTATTATACTAGAGCACGTGCTCAAGTGCCCTTACGGGCAAACCGCCACTGGTCGTTTAGAGATCCAAACTGGACCGGTTAAATAATAAATAGAGATATTGCGCAAGACCTATTAAATAAGGAATACCGCTTCATCTGTTGATATGACACATAAATGACATCTATCAAAATTAGTTAGTATTACAAATTTTATGCTACTGTGACCTTAATTACTTCTCTACAGGGAATTTTGTAAAAAATCAATTTTTGTTTATTTCAACTTTTTATAACTTATTGCTAACCCTGTATATTATGCCTGAAGTATATATTTTTGTTGATGTGATGTTGTACTAGTGTGAATTATTGAAAAATAGCGATATTTACTGAACAAACTTTTTGGCTCACCTCGTATTTTTTTTTTTTTTATAATAATAGGTTAGTAGTCCATGTATAATTATTACTTTTACTATCATTATTTTAGTCGTAAATGTTTTCCTAGACATTCAATTTTTCTACTTTAATTAAAAAAATTACCCACCCTGTATAGTTGTTTTTCAAAACGGTTAATATTAAAACACCCTGTATCTCGAAAACTAGTCATATGAGAACTTTGTGCCCATGAAAATTAAGGAGATTCGACCGAAATCCATTTTCCATAAAAAACTGTTTAAATAAAATACAGGGTGTATCAAATACTTACCCAATATATTTCAACCACAAATTTTAATTGTACTATATCGTTATTGTACGATGAATATCGTGAACCACTCTGTATATTTAATTTTTATATACAGAGTATGAAAATAGAATTGAGTAATTACGGTTATCTTTTGAATATTTAAAAAATATCAAAATTATTTTGAAGCCTAAAAAATTAAAATTGTTACTCTGTATATAAATTTTTAAGTTGAATATTGTATAGAGTTGGACAAAATTGGCGGGACATTAGATTTCTGGCTTTATTGGACAAATAACAAATAAACTGTTTTTTTTTTATTGAATATATATTTTATTGTCATCACTTTTTGAGATATGACATCATTACTTATAGATTTTTCATAGTATCAATTAAAAAAGCACATATTTTAGCGTATGGATGAAAAAATCTCAGAATTTGACCTCCCTACGCAAAAATATATGCATTTTTAATCAAAGGTGTAGCTGTTAAAAGTGACGATGTCATATAAATATCTAGTGGAGACATCATAAAAAAAGAATAATAAAAAATTGTTTAAAACAGGTCCATTTTTATTCCGCATAGATACCTTTATATATCCTCAACTGCTATACGTTATTTACATCCTTTTCGTCGTTCTATCCAATAAAATTTAAATATCGAAAAGGTGTGTGACACTTCATTTGAAAGATAATTTTATTAATAATGTAATGCGTACAATAAATTTTTTATTTTACTTGAAGTTGATTTAATGTTTACTATAATTTCAACAATCTTTTATTATTTATTCATTTATGTTTTTCAAATGAGGTACCATACTTTAAAACACATATAAAAGTACTTCATACTTTTTGTCTATTTAAATTTAATAGGTTAGTGTGACGGAGGGAAGGGTAATGACGAATGACAGTTGGAGGTGTGGTAAGAAGCTTTGGAATAAATATCGATCTGGTGTAAGCCTTTTTTTGATATTTGCTTTTGTTCATGAGATATTGCCCTTTCTAAGTTTTTAAATTTAACCTTTTATAATCAGCCATTTGTTACTAGAAAGTACAGATAAATATATATTTACAAAAATGCACCAGAAAATTAAAATTGCACAAGATCGTCCATAAATAGGAATATTTGAGATTTTTTTGAGGTAGGTACCTTTTAGATAGCACGTTTTATGGTTAAAAACCAAAAATGCAACAAATTACTAAATAATAATGGATCTTTTTGATTATTTTTCAGCTCACCCTAACACGTTGTTTTAAGAATATCTTCGTACGGGAGTCGTTTCAAAAAATTGTCTATTGAGTCCATTATTTATGGAATAATTAAAAATGAACCTAAATTTTAAACTGCCATATATTTGTTAAAAATGCATGTATTTCACCGCGGGTTTTGGAATTGGATAAGTTTTTTCTTCGTCTCTTAGAAACCAAGCCTTTATTTTGCCATTTGCCAATATTATACAGGGCATTTTACAAAGTGTGCACCCATGTAAAATTCACAAAATTTTAATTTGGGATTTGGGAAGTAAGAGCGTGTAAAAATTTTTTTGATCGTTGGTTACAGCTTTCCTTTCAGTAACTCCTGTATCAGTTTCATCTCAGTGCCGTGGCAAAGAAAGCACTAAAAATTAGAGTGTTTTTGTCTAAAGAAAGATTTTTGAAAAACCCTATTTTTTTATTTATCACGCACGGCACTGAGATGAAATTGATACAGGAGCTACTCAAACTATAACCAACGGTTCAATAAATTTTAATTTTTACACAATTTTATGAATTTTACATGTGTGCACACTTTGTAAAATGCCCTGTATAATATTGCCAAATGGCAAAATAAAGGCTTGGTTTCTAAGAGACGAAGAAAAAAGCTATCCAATTCCAAAACCCGCAGTGAAATATATGCAATTTTAACAAATATATGGCAGTTTAAAATTTAGGTTCATTTTTAATTATTCTATAAATAATAATGGACGGAGTGTATTTGGACATGCACTTATGTGTAGCATAAAAAACAAAGTAGTAACTAAGTAGGACTAGATTTAAATGTATATCAACGATTTCTTCTGTCAACAATAAAAGAAACACTAGTCAACAATGATAGATAAAAAAAAGTCAACTAGCATTAGTTATGCTCAGCATATTGTACATATCAAATAGATACTACTTTCTCTTCTAATGCAAAACAGGCCAACAAACAAATAACTGTAAAATGTGTAATATTAAATTTTATTTATTTAAAATATTTATAGTACCTTTAAAAAATATAAAAATTTGAAGAAATGATAATGAAAAACTTTAAAATGTTGATCTTAAATATTAAATCACGATTATTAAGATCAACATAAAAATATTCTGACTTTGTAAGCTGAAAAATAATCCTCAATCTCTACCAATCCTTTTATGAATTTGCTGATGTTTCAACAAATGCGCCTTTTGTCTAAATGCTTTCGCGCATGTTTCGCACCTGAATGGTTTCTCCCCCGTATGCGTTCGCAAGTGCACCTTAATGTTACTTTTATTCAAAAACCCCCTGTTACAAATATTACATCTGTGCACGGGTTTTTCTTTACCTAAAAGACCTAGCGTTTGATCAGCGTGGAAAACACTGGACGTAGCTTGTTGTTGTTTCTTTTGCCCTCTACTTCGACATTTTTTAGGAGTCTTGGTAGTAGTTGTTGTAGTGTGGGGGTAATTTTGTAACATTTCCGGGCTTTTTAACCTGTGATTTTCTCCAATATGGATATATTGGGGTAAATATCTTCCGTTGACTGGAACTAGAAGGTTGTCTGTTGTTGAAACCACGTTAGAAGGAGGACTCGCAATGTTTCCATAGTTTGTTGAACTATGGGCTTCTGCTTTAATCTGCATTCTGTTCGGCATGTAACCATGTGTTAAGATCGTCTGCAATGTAGAGCCAGTTTGTTGTGGCTGTACAGATGGTATAACAAATTCCGATAAACCATCTTGAGTTATTATCAGTTCTTTTTGTTGGTCTACGCAAGCTCCATCTATCCAGGCATCTAAATCCATCCAGCTATCTCTAGATCCTGTAGGTCCTTCGCGGTCTGGATTATTATTAGGAACAGTGGTATCTGCTATGGCTGTGCCAATTATAGCAGCTATGTCATCTATAGAAGAAATATCGTAGTCAGCTACTTCAGTTTTTATGTTAACAGCATGTTGACTACAATCCTCGTATTTTAAGGAAGAAGCGGAATCAGGATTAACACAATCCGTATAACTGTCACTAGAGAAAAACGCTTTACTGTCCTGATCACCAGCTGAGTCTGCACTAATATTGCACGTCGAACTAGACACTATATTTTGTTCGTTAAAGTTACTATAATTGTTGTTATTTTCTTCAGGGTTTCTTTGGGATATGGTGTGATAGTGATGGCCTTGTATGCCGTTTATGCTCAGGTTCGCAGTGTAACCTGTGAAGGGAGGCAGAGGTTTCAATTCGGCTAAACCAGTATTTATTAAGAGGTTATCTAGGGCTTCCATATTAGACTTTGATTCTATTTCTTCGTCATCATGAAGAGATGAATCTAACAGTAATTTATCTGATTCTAGATTACCGATGTGTCCGCCTAGGATAAGTTTATGGGCATCTATGTATTCAGGTTGGATATCAGAATTGGAATTCCAACATGACGATATGAAAAGGGGATCAACATCGTCTACGTGGGTGCCGTTGTTCACTGCCATGGTTGTACTTTGGGACACGTAGGGATATTTCATTGTGTCCATTAACGGATTATTTTGAGGTAAGGTGTCATCAGATGTGCGGCATTTGGAAGACTAGGTGAAGATTGAGGTGGAGTCCTGAAACAATAGAAAGTAATTGTTTAATTATCTATATTTAAATTAAAATCATTTATAATATGGTTTAAAGAGATGTAAAAAAGTCTTTTCGCGCTTTAATTTAAAGAATAATAGTTATTTATACACGCTACTTTTAATGATAATTTATTAACAAAAATACAGGGTGTCCCATTAGTGCATAATTGTTCAATATTTCATTTTGTATTATAGACACGTAAAAAAGTTTTATATAAAAGTTATATGGATTTTAAAGATACATATTTTAAAAATATTTTTGGATATACAGGGTGTTGCGTTTTTGTCTGGCAAATAAAAATTTATAATTTTTAAATATGTATTTTATTTTTAGAATAGTTTGGTAATACTGTATTAAACCAGAAAATGTTTTAAAAAATGTTACAGAGTTGCCAAACAAATAATTTTTTTTTGAAATTAGAGAATAATAATGCAGACCCCAAATTAAATTATTATAATTTGGGTACCGTAAGGCTGACTTTGACTCACTGTCACAATTTAAACCTAGTTTCAGTTGTTAAATAGAAGCAAATCCAAATTGGCATTTTCGCCATAATTTAGTCTTCAGTTATATTTTAAGAATTATTAAGCAAAAATATCTCAAATGGTCTACTAATTTTTTAATAATATAATAAAAGGGTGTGCAAAGCCACCCGCAGGTAGAAGGTGACTTTGATTCACCCATTATTTTACATTGTTTTCTCTATAGTGTTACTTGCTGGTTTAAAGCCACCCATCACAGTTGATAGTAAAACACATTTTATCATTAATAAAACATTTTTTTGCTTACGGTTAAGATAATAACAAAAAATATTAAAAACAACAGAGTTGTTGGTTGCATACAAATTTTATCACCTTTCAATTTCGATTATTTTGCAATGAGTTAAATTTGTTATACTACAAAAATCGTACGCGTCCAATTGTCTTTAAATAAAGTGTTTTGGGTAGTTTTAATACCTTACAGTTCAACCAGCGTGAGTTTTATTTTAAAAATAGGACGTATAATTTTCTGTGAACAAAACTATTTACTGTTTTGTGCTAAAGTCACCCATGCGGGCCAAAGTCACCCGATTTTACGGTAGGTTTACATTGATTTCAAAATTGTTTAATGTACAGACTTACTAAGCTAACAAATAGTGGTTATTGAACTGGTTTATTTTATACAGAGTGTTGTGAAACATGTTTTAAATATGGCCAAATTTGCAAGTGATACTTTTTCCGCTTGAGACAAAAAGTTATGTAGAGGAAAGCCTTACTTATAAATTAAATGGGTTTATAACAACAGAATCGTTACATTGATAACTTTTTAACAACGCCATACGTATTTGCTGATTCAGGGGTTACAAATGAAGGGCGCAACTCTTTATTTGTAAGGAGTATATTGAGGGTGATTTGAACCAACATCAAATTCACTAATTCTAATTCTATTTTATAAAATAATGACATTTTTGGCCTTTCCGTACATTTTTTATTAAACATTTCTTACCAGTTGAAAATTAATTTCTCTCTGAAAAGTAGGATTTCACGGAGAAAAATGTTTGTACAGAATCAATATATTTTGTTAATACCGACAAAAATAAGCAACAAAAACAAAATGCCACAAAAAGAAAATGGTTCCAAGTGGCTAAAAAATATTCTATTACTTGCAAGAGGAGTACTTGTAAGATTATTTACTAAATCAGTTTTACCAATTATCTTTCTTCAATATTTTAAAATCCATAATCTTCAAACATTCCTCCTGTCAACTCAATAACAATATTCTAAATTGTTAACATTTATGGTAAAACAAGACCTCGTTTTATGCGAACATCCTGTAGGTCGTATTATTAAAAAAAATTTAAAGTTTGTTGTGGTATTTGTACCTCCATGTATTTAGGTCAATTATGGTAAACATATTTTCCGCACTTTTTTGCACCACTCTATATTATATTTATGGGTTTTATTAAACAATTGTTTTTTACATCCCTTTTTTGTAGGCGCACTGTATATTAACTATAGTGATCAATTTTTGCACACAGGGTCGGTTTCTCCATTGGTTTATTTGTGCAGTGAACACCCAGTCAAATTTCATAAAAATCCATTATTTTAAAATCACATAAATAACATAAAAATATAAATTTAATTTTAACATTTTTATTTTCATACGTATTAATCTATATTTTTTGGTACATCGTTGTCCTCTGGCTGATTGCGTCTCTGTGGCACAGTATAATATGTCGATGGCGCATTATGATGAGTGAGACGATTTGGCGAATGCATATAGCTAAATAGAGAAGACGACACGCCAACAGATCCTACAAAATGCAAAAAAACACATTAATTGATGCGTCGCTCACAAACAAGGTTGTCAAACCAGTCTTGCCAGTCTAGTACAATTCACAATTGTACTAGATGTAGTACATTCTGCGTGCATCAGTGTTCACTATTTTAATTCACAGATTCCTGTAAATGTTCAATTATGTGCTGCTATTTCAAACTTTTAGTATCCTTTGATAGAAGAAGTTGAATATTATTGTTGAACCCTTTAAACTGTTTATTTTACCTTATACAATTTTTTTTCTACTCTTCATACAGTAATCTGTGAAGAGTATTATAGGTTTACTTTGTCCGTCTGACCGATGTTACGTTTTTTGTATGCACGATAAGTCAAAAACGAGAAATGATATCAACTTGAAAATTTTAAGCAAAAATCAAGCTCCATAAGGGGAGAAAACCTATTGATTTTTACCAAATCTGATTAAAAAAAATAGGGGGTTAAGATGGGTTGAAATTAAAAAAAAATCCAAAATTTAAAACGAAAAGCGATTTCAACATGATATTTTTAGTAAAAATTAGGCTTTATAAGAAGATAAAGCCTATTGATTCTGAAAAAAATATGAATATTTTGGGAAGTTAAGGGGGGGTTAAAATATTAAAAAAAAATCCTAACTAAAAAACGAAAAATGATATCGACTTGAAATCTCTAAATATGGGGGATTTAAGGGGGGTTGAAACAAAAAAAAAATCAAAAATGAAAAGCGATAGCAACATGAAATTTTTATCAGAAGATAAGGTCAATTGATTGTGAAAACAATCTGGTTGAAACTGTTAAAATGCGAAGAGTATCATTTAGAATGTCAGGCATTATATATTTTTATTCTAGTGTGTATCTGTCTTAGATAAAAGAGACCAGAGATATAACATACACCGGTGTTTAACCTGCGCAAATGTTGCCAATTTCTAAAGAAAGGTTAACGGAGTGGGGGAACTGGGTAGAGACCCGAACTCTGTGACAGAGACTGGACTTTGTTTATTACCATCATAATGAACTATTAGATTTATTTAAAATATATGTTTAATGGAATTTTGTATTATGAAATAAAATTAACGTGATTTTTTAATATCAAACAGATGCCACGACATTTTATGTAAAGAGAAGACCTTTCATAGAATATTTCGTTAGCGTTTATTTACTATGGACTTTTTAGCAAGAGACTACATTAAAATGTTGAAATAGAATATTGTTAATAGAGCAAGAAATGGTACTCATTGTCTACAAGTATTATAAAAAAAAGCATGTGCGCAGGCGAATACTGCAAATCAAACCTTGTGAGTTTGAACATTAAATTTTTTCTACGACTATTACATAATATTATAAATTTAAACCTATTAAAAGTCATTTGGTCGCTAGGGGTGGGTGATTATCGAAATACATTATCGATCATTAAAAATAATCGATTATTTTCGATCGATCGATTATTTTCAAACAATCTATTTTTTTTTTAAGGTGAAGGGGGGAGAAAAAGTCCTTTATATCTCCCCCCTTCACCTTAAAATTACCTCAACTCACACATGGCTACCCCCCTTGTCAATCTATTTTTTGTCGAATTTCTTTTAAAATCGACTACTTAATTATCTTTGAGAAATCAAAAATAATCGATTAATTACAAAGCCAACTAACCGATAAATCAGTGTTTACAAAAAATAAAAAAAGAATTATCGTTTATTTTAAATAATCGATTATTTTCGATCAATCGATTATTATCAATAATTTATTTTTATTGTATTTCCTTTAAAATCGATAATTCGATTATCTTTGATATACCGAAAATAATGGATTATTCCAAAATAATCGCTTAATCGAAAATAACCAATTAATTAGGAAGCCGATTCTACGATAAATCTATTTTCCAAAAAAACGTCCGAATTATCGATTATTTTCTAATAATCCTTTTTATATTTCCTTTAAAATTGATTATTCTACCTTTGAAAAATCTAAAATATTCGATAAGTCGAAAATAATCGATTAACCGATAAATCGATAATTCTAAAAAATAACCGAAATATCGGTATATAAAATAACCGATTATTTTCGATCATTCGATTATTTTCATATATTACCTTTGAAAAATCGAAAATAATCGATTAATTAAAAAAAATCGATTAAACGATAAATCTATTTTTCCTAAAAATCTATTATTTCTAATCAATCGATTATTTTAAATAAATCTACTTTCTCTTTGTATTTTATGGTTTTACTAAATATTTTTTGTGATTATTTTCAATTAGGTATCTATTTTCTCAATAACTTATTTGGTTACAAAACTTTGTCTAGGTACTTACTTGTTTTCACATTTTTTTTCTCTATATTTGAACCACTTTGTATTTTATATATTTATGCTTTTAAGTATATTATCTCATCGTTTTAATATCCACCCATTATAATATACATTTCTTAAATTAACTTTTTGTTTCAATACTCTGTATAATTGTTTTCATTTTTTTTCACTTTTTTTAACTACCTTGTATCATATTTACGCTTGTTGTAAAACATTTTAATGTATTTTCAATACCCTGTATAATTTCTAGCTCATTTTAAGTGACTAATTTTGTTAAAAGACTTTATTTACAAGATTTTTTCT